CTTCCTGGCTCTGCCCCTAGCCTGCTGGCTCACCTTGGCCAAGCCCCGCCCATCTGTGACTCAGTTTCCCCCTTGGCGCCATGGGGTGGCGATCCTGAGCTTCTCAGTGCCCTCCCAGCGCGCTTTGAGATCCGCTGATGAGCCTCGGCATGGGGGAGGGGCGATGGCTGGCTAATGAGTGTTTATTTACAATTAGCTCTTCTTCATTAGCTGCTATGTAGCGTGTTCCACGTGGCGGTGTCTGCTGTTTGCTGTGTTGCCGTGTTATCACTCTTAGCTGGCATTAGCTCCTGTTTAATTTACAGAATTAATTAGTTGGACTGAATTAGCGTCCACTCCATACTAATCCCAGGTATCGACCCGCACCAGGAACCGATATTTGCTTTGCAATCGTCTATTTAGCGTTCCTACGTTAGTCTAGTTGTACGCCGGAGAGTCGCAAAACGATACGATGCGAAGATCGTTGACCATTCCTTAGTGGCTGCTCAGAATTCAGAGAGATCACGCACCCGCTATAATTATTGGGTTTATTACCTGATATGTGGATCCATTCTTTCTAATGTGCTCGTTAGGGCCTGTGATTGATGGCTGTTATGTTCTGAATATCCATGACAGTGGCTGTTCCTTTCAATCATGGAGCGAGCTCTGATATTAATAATCCATTAGTTACTGATTATAAAATAAATGCTGCTACCTCGTGCGTATTAATATGATGGTCCTATTGATGATGATTTTTGCTATTTATAATACATGAGAGGTGACTTATTGTGATCCATCCTATTTGTTAGGGTGGATTGTATGCTATTTATAACTCTTTTGTGATGTGTACTCTGTATTAACTGCTGTGATGATTTGCATGTATTATGATCCATTATATATGATTAATAATTCACTTGTTCCTCCTTACAATTCATCGTTATGCATTTTATATTAATGTAATTCTTACGTTTATTTTAATAGTTTAGTTTGGTTATACAGTATATTCATTATAATTCATTGCCATTTATAATTCAATGTTAGTCCGCACTGTGTATTTAGTGTGAATATTATAATGTATTCATTATGAGCAATTATTTATAATTCATTAATTACTATTTAGAATTCATTATTGTCAGGTATCCAATTAATTATGACCATCTCTTATGATAAATAGTTATAAATAATGTAGCCAATCTCATAAAAAATAAGTCATACGAATATACAGTACATAAATATGTATTAATATTATGATAATCTCTTGATGAATGAGGTTATATTTTATAGTTCATTAATTCATAAAAAGGTATTGGATTTAGCAAGTAATGAACTGGTAAACATAGCCTCATTTATCATCGAGACGATCATAATATTAATAGATGTTTAACAGTTCATTAATTGCTAGGTCCAATAATTCATAAAAAGGTAATGAACTATAAAATATAACCTAATTCATCATCAAGAGATGATCCTAATATTAATACATGTTTATGTATTGTATATTCATATGACTTATTTTTGTATGATTGGTTACATATTTATAATTCATTGGTAAACTGTACTTAATTATTATAATTGTAAATCTACAATCAATCCAAATCAATACATTAGTTACTAACTACAATTACCATTACAGCCGTATAATTATTGTGTATTTGCAATCAATTATATATCACTTAGTATTATCTTGCAGAATTAACCTGTAATATCTATTAATTCTTCTATCTATATTTTTGCTTAGCAGCGTTCCGAGATCTAAGCCAGCAACGTCTGAAACGTCTGAACCTACGGAAACATTGAAAATTCAGGTAAGGACGGAGTCTGCTCCAAGTTTAACCCACAGCTTCAGTTTGCTCCCAGAATAGCTGATTTGGTGAGAAGCAATTGGTGCTTCAAACCGAGATTAGAGCATTTACACAGGAACTGGTTTAAGGGATTTAAACCGGTTTAATAATCGGTTGCTGGGGGGGAATATTTCGTAGAACCATAGAGCTGGAAGAGACCTCAGAAGGTCATCAAGTCCAGCCCCCTGCCCAAGGCAGGACCAATCCCAGTGCCCTGAGTGCCCGATAGCCCAGTTCGATCTCTAGTGCAGATTTGTGTATATCCTTATAAACGTGCTTCCACCACAAATTATTCCCCTTCCGGAGGGGGGAACCCACGGTCCCTTTGCACTGTGCCAAGTTGCTCCCAGTGCATTGTGGGTGCCCTCCTGGGGAACTATGGGAAGGCTAAGGGGTAGTCTACATTTCCTGTGCAAACTCTAAGGGTATGTCTACACTACAGTGCGATTTCGAATTAACTTAATTGGAAATAGTTAATTCGAATTAAGCTAATTCGAAATAACACACCTAGACACAAACTATTTCGAAAGAGCGCGTCCACACTGAGTGGACCCTGAACCGAGGTTAAGGCTGGCCGGAGCCAGTGCCGGCAGGGCATCAGGTTGGGACTTAGTGTGTGAGGCTGCTGCCTGAGGCTAAGTGAGCTCCATGCTTAAAGGGACCCGACCCCCCACCCCGGACAGACAGTTCTCAGGGTTCCCCGCTTGCTTGTCTACCTCGATGAGGGACAGCAAAGCAGTCCTGGCTTGGAGTGCCCTGAGCGCCCGCACTTGGGACACCGCAGCACTCGGCCACATGGAGCCAGAGCTGCCCCATGGCACGATGGTGCGTCTCGTGGGGTCGTTGCCATCAGCCCGGCTGCACTTGCTGCAGGCTGCCATCCAGGGGGGTCCATCGGGGGGCTGTCAGGATCCAGGAGGCCCTGAGGGAGAGTGTCCACCCCTCAGAGCCTCCCCAGTCCTCCCCACTGGGGTCTCGTACCCCATTCCTCCCTCACGTCCTTCCACTTACCCCTCCCTAGCCCCCCTTCCTGATGTCAAACAAAAGACACGTATGTTCAGAAATAGAAACTGGGTTTATTGAACAAAACTGGGGGGGGGATGGACCTCTGGGGAGACTGGGAAAAGGAGATGGGAGAGGGGAAGAGAGAGGGTGGGAGAGGGGAGGGGGAACCTGGGAAGAGGGAGCTGGAAGGGGGAAGCCAGGGGAAGAAGGGGGAGGGGAAGCTCAGGGCTTAGAGTTGGGGGGTCTCGCCAGACCAACCTGACTTTCATGCTAACCTGCTCCTGGGTTTACATGTGGCCTTTGGTGGCCAGGCTGGCAGCTCTTCTGCC